TGATTGGCATTTTTCACACAGGAGGAGGTTCAAGCCAAGAGCAAGGCTCTGGAGAAGGTGAGGGAGCAGCTCCTTCCTCCTCCACACCCTCATTTTTTGTGTTCCAGGGCTGTGGGTTTAGAGAATGACTCTGGCTGGGTCAGGATTTCATACACCACATTGTGTGTGTGAGCTTTTATGAAATCCCTCATGTGAAAAACGCCAATCACTTGTTTTAAAAATTTTAAAAGTTTCATAGTAATAAAATGGTTATAAAAATAGTAATGCAATTAGAATAATAATAGTTTGGACAATTTGAATTAGGACAATATGAGACAATAAGAGCAAAGAGTTAGAGACGGTCTGGGTACCTTTTTCTGGGCAGCATAAGCCTGAAAATGGAAACAGTTAACAGAGGATTAACCCTTAAAAACAGCAGCCTGTTGCATATTCATACACCTCATCCATGGTGCATAAATTCCATTCAAACACAGGATTCTGTCTGGGCAGTGTCAGCTTCTTCCTCTGAATCCTAACGCTGTCATCCTGCCTGAGCAAGGAAGAAGTTCATTTCTCCTGATAATGGAGCAATAAATTCTATTTTTCTGAAAGATTCAGGTGTCCTGTGGCTGCTATCTCAGTGCCAGTCCTTTCTTTAGAAAAAAAAAGCATCTTACACAGCATAGTGTCTATTTTAACATTTTATTATAATCTAAAACTATCTTTAACCCACTACTTAAGAGAATTAACACAGCATTACTTTCTAACATAACACATACAATATTCATTTGAATGTTTCCGAAAAGCCAATCATAAATTAGACATTTTTCACACCTCAGGTGGGAGATGAAGCTTTTGAAGCCCAAACCCTCCGGTTGAGAAGGCTCGGTGGGAGGAGCACGTGTGGGATGGGAGGGGATGCGACTCCCTCTGCCGACCTTCGGATCCGCTGCAGCTGCTGCCGGCTCCGAGCTCCCTTCCTGGGGTAAGAAACAGAACATAAAAGTAATGCTCTTCAATTTTACATTGAAAATCTTCCTTTTCAAAACACTTGGAAATCGGTTTTCCTCTGATATTTTGTAATAGAATCAGAGGGTCTGCAAAAAAATTGATATTTGTGTGTACAATCCTAGACCTGCACACGAAGGACTTGCTTTATTTGGGTATTTAGGTTATCAAAGAAATATTGCAATTTTTTAACCAAAGTTAGGAAATTCCAGGAGTTCTAAGACCACATTAGTAAGATTAGCTTCAGTTTCATTCAAAAATCATCCCTGTGGAGAAACATGAGAAGACTTTCTTTAAAACAGACATGGAATAATCTCTCCCTTGGGCAGGGACACCTTCTACTAATTCCAGGCTGCTCCAAGCCTTGTCCAGCCTGGCTTTGGACACTCCCAGGGATTCAAGGGCAGCCACAGCTGCTCTGGATTTATTGAATTTTGTTCTGGATTAATTTAATTTATGTTACTTAATCCTAATTTGTACCTACATTAGAAAACTTTCCAAATATTGAAGCTGGCTTGTAGCTTAGGGGGTATCATCCAAGCTGAGTACTATTAAAATTATGGTGGCAGGAGAGAATCCAGCTCTGGTCAAGGGTGGGTGATTTAGTGTGGTTCTAAAAAATCATAGTTTGTGTGTTGGTTTGTTGTTT